GAAGGTTTTCACTGTGACATCAAGGTCCTGAGGGTGTAACCAGGAACTCAGCCAGTCTGAAGATGGAGGAGCTGTTTGTGTGAGGAAGAAAAGGGAAGGAAAATGTCTGCTGGGAAACCAGACAGCTCTTTTCTAAGGGTGGGGAGAGGACATACATAAACTTATTGACATCTAAAAATCAGAGCAGGAGAATTCCTTTCTGTGTTTATACTCTAATGCAAAGTAAATTCTGACCATCCAGCAAAATCACTTATTCCCCTCCCAGCCTACAGGGAACCTAACTGTGCTAACTGTGGTTTTGGTGAGTACTACAGGGATTTAGAGAAGATGTAGTGGCAATGTAGGATGGACAGACTCTGACAGCTATATTCTGTATCTGGGCACTCATCTTAGTCCCCTGTAGAATACTGCTGAGAGGACAAACCTGAGTATGTCTTTCCCTTATGGTTACCTAACTTTCCTCTAGATCTTATTATTGAAGGCTACAGAGCTAAGTTTTAAAGCTGGGTTTAAACCAGTGTATCTGCCTTGGATGTAGGATAGCTTCACATCAACTCTTCTCACCAATTTTTTTATTTCCTTTTTATTTCCCCCCCTAGAAATAAATTAGTTCTATGATCTGGTAATTGTTGACCTGCAGATAGGCAATGACAAATTTCCCCCACCCCTTTTCCAGTTAAACAGTCCTATCTAAGTAAGCACTTTGGGGGCTAAATTAGGAAGTACACACTTCCTATCTTACAGGCATTTACACGGACTTCCCTCCAAAGGGCGTGGTCTGCTTCTCTGGAAGTGGCATTTGAGGTGCATAGAAGATTATTCTGAACATTTACCTGCCAAGAAAAGCCCGTGGTTGGTTTAGGCTTTCTGTCTCCAGTTCTAGGGAAGTGTGGTTTTACTGGTTTATGCCTCAAAGGATTCTGATGCTGTGGGGAAAGGCTGGACAAGGAAAATCGCCTGCCAGGTTGAATCCTCTGCCTCACAGACAGCTCTGGAACCAGGTAAGGGAATTGTTTCTTCTCCAGGGAAAGCAAAAATGGCAAAGCCTGCTCTCATACAAGGGTTAGTGAGCCATTAAGGGATTCCTTAGCTCTAATGGTTCTTCCAGGGCTCAGCGAGCTGTTTCTGGTATAAGGAACTGGCATTTAGGAATCTGAAAGCCTATCGGTATTGAAAAGGAATTTTTTTCCATGGTCCCCTAAAGTAGAAAAGGGTCTCAGCTCTGTAATGTACTTGAGTAAGTGAGTTGATTATACTTTTTGTGAGAGAACAATGAGAGATGGCCAAAAGGACGTGAATTCCAGTATTGAACAATGTGGTCCATGGTCTTTGAACAACTCTCAGTCACAACAATCACTAAATAAAGGGAGAAATAATTTCTTTGATATTATTTCTACAATTTACAACCTGTTTGGGAAGCAGCTGGAAAAACAGTATGCTGAAAAGGCTGAAAACGGATGAATATGGAAATTCAACCCCTGTAGCTCCCAAGAGCTATGTGGTTGAGGATCCTATATTTAAGGAAAGGTAAAAACCAGAACACCACTCACATTAGGGAGGCTTTGAGCACAAAGAGCAGAAGGATGAATGGATTTGAAGGCAGAGTTCTCTTCACAGATGAGGATTGTGTTTTGTTGCTGCTCAGCCAAGAGAATCCCTGCATTTACTTCTTCATTCTTTGCTCACATTGCAAGCCCACACCATAAGATGTGGGTTTTGTCCTACAGTAAATACTTGGTAGAAACTCTTCCTAAATGTCACTCCAACATGAAACCTTGTGAAATTCCCTAATTCAGTTTTACTTCTCTTTATGTGAAATGAAAACAAGAAGCAGAGCACAGTAAGCGGAGCAAGAAAGTAGCCAGTGGACAGTGAAAACAATGATCTGCTGAATTAAGATTAAATTTGTGAGCAAAGGATGGTATGAACATGGAAGAGATTTTTATCTTTCTGCTGAATTTGGTCTTCAGTGTTCAAGCCATTCGAGGTGAGTTTCAAATTTATATTCTCTCTCCTTCCATTATTGCCTGCTTTTTTGTATCTGTCTTCTTTCAGCTAATGCTCTTCCTCATTTTTTTGCTTGCTTTTCTGTTTCCTTCTGCCCCCATCTTCTGTGCTGTAGGAACACAGATGTCTTGATCAAGCCCAGTGTGTAGCAGATGCATGTGCAACTTCCCTTCCCTTCCCTTCCCTTCCCTTCCCTTCCCTTCCCTTCCCTTCCCTTCCCTTCCCTTCCCTTTTGCCTCAATTCCTTTCTCAGAGAGTATCCCCATGAAGAGTTTGAGCTGCTACAATGACTACAGCTCCCAGATGACCTGCACATGGATGGAGCATTCAGAGGCACACGCCCTTGTTGGCATGTCTCTTTACCAAAGGGATAATTTCCCTTTCTGTAATCACTCCATCTTTTTTTTTTGCCTCAATTCCTTTCTCAGAGAGTATCCCCATGAAGAGTTTGAGCTGCTACAATGACTACAGCTCCCAGATGACCTGCACATGGATGGAGCATTCAGAGGCACACGCCCTTGTTGGCATGTCTCTTTACCAAAGGGATAATATCATCATGTAAGTACCTGGAGCAGATAAGAGCATCACTGAGACTATGGTTTTGATCACTTCTGAGAAACATGTATAGACTCTGTGTGAGATAGAGAAGACTGGTCAAGTTGATCTGTGCTATCACTTTTCCTCCTAGAGATACTGGTCTGTTTATGATGGTATCTCTCTGTTACATCTGTTTCCTTGTGAAAAGGGAACTGAATCACCAGACTGGATCAGTTGCGAGGATAAGAAAGGACAGAGAAGGAGGAATAGTCAAGGAAGAGATAAAGATGGAAAAGCTGAGAATGAATTAGAGTGTGGGGATAGAGAAAGGAAAGAGAAAGTAATCTTGAGGAGAGAATTGTAGACCTAAAAGCAGCTGAAATCAGTGGAAGGTCTTTGGAACAGGACCTTGAAGCTAATACTGCTGGGAAAAGATAAAAAGTTATTTACAGAGCTGAGATCAAAATGGCCAATGAATAAACCAGGTCAGCTCATGGATGAAGAATAATGGACTAAATCCCAAACAAATGGTAATGCTGGTGAACAGACAGAATACCTTCAGGACTTCACAACCCTTGGGCTAACTCTGTTGTTTAAGGACATGTATTGTCAGATATTATTATTGTATTACATATGTTTTGTCAGTCCCACCCATACTTCAGCAATATCCCTCATTTCCTTATTAATACCCAAATTTTAAGGATAGCAGCAATGCTGAGTAATGCTTGCTGACATATAGTTGGCTAGGAGACTCCAGCCTATCCTAGAAGACAGTATTTGGCTTAGATATTCACAACTTAATATTTCTCATCTGAACTGTAACAATACAATATTCTGGGCATAAAGCCATCAGAACAAACAAAATTCCAGAGGGTACAAAAAGAAGCAAGACAACTCTCTAGGAGCTCAGGATACTGCAAACACACAGAGCTTATCCTCTGCTGTCTAGTTTAAAATGCTGTTTCTAATTTTCATGATGCTCCTTGGCCTGGAGAAAAGCTGCCTAAAAGGATTATTAACATTCTGTATAAAATTTTTAATGAAGACATAAGGTATTGGCAGAGCAGAACTACTAAGGATACAGAAGTAGATTGGTTGGAGAATTAAATGTCATTCAGTGACTGCAAAAAGAGTGTCTTCAAGAAGCTAAGGATCATCAGAAACTACTGCCTTTCACTCTAGGTAAAAGATGTATTTCCATGACATTTTTCATTGTACTATTTATCACATTAAAAAAAAAAAAAGAGATTATATAGAGTTAGGCGAAAAACTAACAAATATAAACTGGCACTAAAACAAAATGTTCTCCTGTACAACTTCGGAGGCATTTGATAAAAAATTTGGTGTTAAAAATGTTTGTCATATTAACTGGTGCAAAACAGGATGAATCAGTACAGTGAGAAGAGGATATAAGTACCTGAGTAAATGATAACAACAAAATGGGAAGGAATTGTTTCCAGATATTTAATTTTGCATTAACTGTAGGCCTCCAAGTCAGATCTTTATAGATCATTTTCTCTATACACAGGGAGAACAATGAGATGCTTTGTAAACGCCAGACAGAAAATGACTTACCTGAGGCTCCAGAATCCTACGTGCACTGGGTTTGCCACACCACTAAAGAAAATTTTGGCATAGGTGTGGATGATACTTACAGCTTCAAACCTAACAAGATACTTCGAGCAGAGCTAAATGTTGTTCTCTTCCAAAATGGTAAGGATTAAATACGGAATTCTCATTTTCTGATGAATGTAAAGGATCTTTGAGAAGGTATTTTCCCTTCAGTGAGGAAATGCCACTTCCAGTGTGAAAACTGGGAGTTCCACATTGGGAGGATATGGCAGGGAGGGGAGGGGGTAAGTTTCTGGGAGGAGATGGACCTGGAAGGGGGACTCAAGCAGGAGATATTTGGTGTGGCAGGAATAAGATACTTGAGAAATGGGGAAGCTTATCTAGGTGTTTTCTTCCCCTCTTCATGTCCCTGTCCTCACTGTCTCCTCTCCTGGGTTGTACCTTCACTTTCCAGTACAGACCCCCCCACCCCAAAACCTGTCAGTCAGCTTGATGAGATCAGGAGATGTCTTGCTGACCTGGAAAGCAGCTGATGGAAGCCAAGGGCTGGGCAATGCCCTTGACTATGAAGTCAGCTACAAACGGGAGTGGGAGTCCTGGGAGGTAAGAGTGGAGGAGCTGGGCTGTGCTGGGTTGGGCTGCATGCTTTTTGGGGGTGGAGAGTCTGTGGTTGAAATTCTGCAAATGAATGGCCCTTTCGTTCTCAGGCACTAGAAGGAGATGCAACAAATGTTGTTTCAGATCAGGGAGAAGGAGCTCTCCTTCTGTTTGCAAGGGACTTGCCCAGTGAAGTGCCATTTGTCCTGAGCTGAATGCAAAGACGTGTTCTCCATGGAAACAAAGGCACGACACTTGGGTTTTAATTTGTCATTGATTTTGCCCTGAATCCCTTCCAAATGGAATTAAATGACTTTCCAACAAGACCCCATGTGTGAAAATGGCAAAATATATTTGAAGCTACTTCCCCTTCCAGGAGGATACGTTTTGGGTGGTTTTTTAAATTTTTTTAAGAGTCCATATCCTTTCTTGTATTGTTTCCCCAGATCTGTTTCTGTTCTGTACTTGTCAGCCTGATTTTTATTTTTTAAGAGAAATATTTTAATATCCCAATATCTTGAGCCCAATTCCCACAACATTCTGCACTGAGCAGTGTTGTGGACTCGTGTGGCTGGTGCTGAAGGCGACCAGGGCTCTACAAGCAGGATCTGGCCCATGTGCTGAGGCACATTGGGCTACCAGTGCCTGTGCCTCACCCTTCCTGTGCCATGCTAGTAGCATACATGCTGAAGACCCTCTAGTATGGGACCAAGGAGCACTGAATGACAGCATGTACATGGAGCATCAGTTGTGTGGGACTGCTGGGAAATGCAGCCTGGCATCTCTGTCTTCCCTCCACCAATCTTCTCCATCCTCCACCTTCCAATTTCCTCCCTCCCCCCTCTCCCTTCTTTCCCCTGCCAACAGGACGCCGTCTCGCTCTCGCTCTCCAACACCACCCTTTGCCATCTCAGACTCCAGGACCTTGTCCCGGGGAGCAGCTACGTTGCTCGTGTCCGAGCCAGGCTGGGGCAGGCCAGTGGCTCCTCCTGGCCGGTCCACCCGTGGGGGACGGGACCTCCGCTGGGCAGTCCAGCCAGTGGAGCACGGAAGCCTCCTGGAAGACCCCTGAAGGTAGCATGGGATAGAGCAGGGCTGTGCTGGGGGAAGCACTGTCTGAGAAGCCAGACCTTGCCTCTCACTTAGCTCGCTCTCATTTTCTCTGAAGGTGGCCTTCAGCCCAGGAACCTTCGCTGCCTCTTCAACGGTGCAGATCGTCTGACGTGCAGCTGGGAGGTGAAGAAAGCCATCACCACCTCTGTCCTCTTTGGCTTGTTCTTCAGGGCCACGCCAACGTCAGCGTACGTGCTCTGCCCGTGGCTGTGTGCCCACACCTCTGCCATGGAGCTTCTGCTCTGTCCCATTCCCCCTGATCCACACCTCTGCCATGGAGCTTCTGCTCTGTCCCATTCCCCCTGATCTGCAGGTCTCCCATGGAGCTTCTGCTCTGTCCCATTCCCCCTGATCTGCAGCTCTACCTCTTTTTTCCCCCCAGGGAAGAGGAGTGCTCCCCTGTGCATGAGAAGGAGATTCCCCACATCCCATACGTGGTCCAGAGCTGTGAGATCCCTGTCAGCAACTCCAGCAGTCAGAGCCAGTACCAAGTGTCTGTGCGGGCCAAGACGGAGGAGAAGGTGATTGAAGGCTACAAGAACAGTGAGTTGCTGTGTAGTTTCTTGGACAGATGCCTGGCTGGGCTAGTGGGGCTGCGGACAGCAATGGTGAGGAAAAATGGGTGGGAAGAGGAAGAGATCGAGACTGATGAAGCAAGGAACTGGATGCTGGGTCAGGTCAGAAGTCAGGGACAGGTGGGTTGTAGGTGTGGAGTTCCTCTGTGGCAGTTGTTACTATGAATAAGCTGGTGGAAACCTCTGTGCAGAAATCTGTGTTGTGAGCCAGAACTTCTCAGGGGACAACTGTCACCCTGCAGACTTCTCTGTGGTTGACCTTCATGAGTGTCCCAGGAGACAGGGAGATGAGGGGAGAGGTGTTTGTGGGAGAGTGTCACAATGTGATTTCTCTAGAAGCCAGTGGAGTTCTTGTGGGTCTGTGCAGTGGCCCACAGAGCACTGGATGAGGTAGGACCAGGTGGATCATCTCAGCCTGCATGCATCTGGAGGTACTGGTGCCACTTTCCACAGACTAACACAGGGAGAGCTCCTGCAGTGAGTGAAAATATCAAGTACTAGTTCCAAGACAGAGGAAAATCTCTGAAAATGTGGTAGACTAGTACAGATGTTTCAAATATTGCATTACTGCTTGCCTGTACACAAGGAGTGCTGTTCATATTAGTGGATATGGATTTTCTGTCCTTTAATGCTCTGCTGTTTTATTGTATCTGACTAGAAAATGAAGATGCAGAGAATTGAGAAGTGTTTGGAAACTGAGACTTCTTATCCTGCATAAACCAACACTGGTTTCAGTCTGTGGGAACTATTCCCAGTGCTGAGAGGGAGTGGTGGACCAGGGTGTTGATAAGGACTCTGAGATGTTTGTGTGTTCCAGTTAAGGTGCTGCCGCCTGCAAATGTGTCAGTAACAGGGACAGAAGACCAAGAGTATGAACTGAGGTGGACAAAACACACTCTGAGATACAACTTCATCAAACAGAGATACCAAGTGGAGTACTGGAAAAACGACCAGTATGAAAAGGTAAGTCTGAGAAGGTGCTGGAGTCCTGGATTTCTCTTTGCTGGGCCAACGGGAAAGACAATGCTCTGACCTCCCTCCTTTGGGCTTCTTTCTTCTCCCCAGACCCTCCAGAAGTTAGAGATCAGCAATGATGAACCTCCCTTCATCTTCACCCCGCAGATGTTGGCCCCATCTACAGCATACAGGGGGAGAATGCGGGCAAGGGTGAACACCCCTCAGGATTATGAGGGGCCTTGGAGTGACTGGGGTGAAGAGTTCACCTGGAAGACTGAGAATGGTACTTTTCATGCTGGCTACTTCTGTGTGGTTTTGTGGACTGCTAGTGGCTGAAATGCCTCTATAGAAAAATAGATTCTCTAGCTGGGGTTGAAGTTAGGTCTTATTTCCCTCCACAACATGAGTACACAACAACCCTGTTTTGGGAAGCAGCCACTCTGCAGGTGGACACCTCTTTCTCCTCTCTCTGTTTCAGTTCTGCCAGAAGTCCTTCTCCCAGTGATGCTCCCAGCTCTCATCATCCCATTATTAATAGCTGCTTATTGCAGCTCCAAGTACTTCCTCAGGTAGGTTTGTGGGTTTGTTGGGTGGTGCCATGCCAGGGCCTTGGTGGTACCTCGCTGTGCAGAGCAGCCCAGTGTAGAGGGTGCAGTGTCTTTGGGCTGCAGCCATGTTGAGAAGCAAATTTGGAAACCCCTGTGTTGTCATTGCAGGAAGAAGAAAATGTGGGAGGAAAAGATTCCAAACCCCAGCAAGAGTCTCCTCATCCAGAGCTACCTGGAGGTGAGAGGGAACTGTACCTGGAAGGGTTCATCACTTCTCTCTCTTTTTCATAGAATCATAGAATTGAATCATAGCATGGTTTGAGTTGGAAG